TCAGCTGACATGATGATGCCTATTTTGGCAAAAATGAAGTGCTGTCTAAGAGAGTCCTCTTTATTGCTAAAGGACTGAAAAGGGAAGTCAGAGATAGACACTGCAGGACTCTACATTTGGACTAATGACTCACATCTCAGGTGTTCAGCAAGTGACAAGCTTCCCTTCTCAGTCATTAGTAAATCCATACTCAAGATAAGGGATACCAAGGGATACCTTACCAGTGAAAGTTGTTGTATTCAGCTTAAATCACTTTATTCAGGCCCACTCTTTTTTTTTTTTTAAAGACCTAATGTCCATTTTTTGTGCACGAGAAAGGATGTTATTGCTAGTATCTGGACAATTTTCATGTTGGGCATCTCCATTTAAGAGTAGATTCTGACTTGAATCCTTGGGGTTAGTTAGAAAATTAAACTATAGTAAAATATATGCAGAGCATTAATAGAATAATATTACTTACAAAATATGAAAAAGCAACAAACCAGAATGAAGCATAGTATTAAAGACTAAACTTCTCAGTCACCTAAATAAGCAATCGTATGCTGTGTTGGATATAACAGGCATCATTTGACTGATGCTGTTGATCTACCACAGTGATATTTTGAAATGAAAAACTATTAAACAAATAAGTGTATTGAAATTAGTGGTGTTCACAGGGTGATAGTCAAAATTCTTCTATATTTTCATGTTTGAACCTCCTAGTGGAAGTCATGTTTTGCCTTTCTAATTATATATTTGATTACCCATAGCCAGCTTTATACTTTGGAGAATGCCAAACTCAATTCAACAACTTTTTGAAAGAACTTTCTTATAATGCTGCTAAAAATAAGTATAAAATGTTTAGAAGGTGAATAGGTTATTCTGAGCATCACAGTATACTGGAAACTATATCAAGTGTATGCAGTCAGGCAGATCCTGTCTGACCTGAGGAAGTTTCTTCTTTTCTGCCTTTTGTTAAATGCAAGTTGGGTGACTAAATTGATTTCTGTACCTTTTGGGTATTTTCAAAACAGGTTTTCTAAAGTCAGCTTCCTAAACCTGTACCAAGGAATTTGAATGACTGCTCAGATTTACAAAGTCTAACTGCAGTATTAAGTCAAATAATTAATTAGAAGGGCAAAAGAGGATTTCTAGTTGAATGGTTAAGAAGAGGGAAAAAAACCAAACCTTCTTTTTGAGATTTTCAAGATCTGGTTTTAAAACATGCTGTGCACCCAAAAACTCCTTCAAAAGCCAGTGTCTTAAAGCAGTGGCTTGTATTCTCAGCAGCATGAAGGGCCTCAGAGGATCCAGAAGGGTTCCCAGACAATATATATGCCTTTTGTCACCATTTCAACCCTATTCATAATGTTAAATCTGGAAACTGCCATACATACACAAACCTTTATATTGTCCATTGCTGCTCTAATCTGTAGGTCCCATGGACTTGCTTCCGTAGCCATAATGGCTCGAAAATTCCCTGTTTCAGTTCTGTTACTTTTATCACTCCCCCACCATTCAAATTCCTGTGCCATTGATTTTACTGGAGAAGCTGTTTTTATCTTATTGTCCAGAATAATTGTTATATACTCTAGTTGTGTAAGGGTTTTATCTGTCATAATATTAATAGCACTGCATCAATGACAAAAATTACTATTGCCAAATTCATACATTCAAAGCCACACATTGCTCTGTTTTTTTAAATTATTATTTTAAAGACCTGTTTCTTTGCTTTAGGGATCCTTAGTCTTTCACAATACACAAATCATGCTTATATCTTGTTCTGCAATCAGAAAAATGAGGAGTCTTTTTTTAATTAAAGTTGTGATTTTTACATGGTCACAGGAAAGGGAAAATAACAAATATGGTGAGACTTTAGATAAAATTACAAGAATTGGCAACGCTGTGTTTGTCAACAGGATGGAAATGATGCTATGTTTGTTCTTTTCTTTTGGAAAGATGATATCTTCCTTCTTTTGCTTAACTTGTGTAGCAACCATCTAGCTTTGTTCAAGCTCGGCAGATCATTAAAACCCATGGTCTGGGCTTCCAAGGACTCAACAAAGGCCTTACTGCAACACTGGGCCGTCACGGAGTTTTTAACATGGTTTACTTTGGATTCTACTTCAATGTGAAAAACATTCTTCCAGTCAACAAAGTAAGTTCTTCATACAATGCAATAGACAATCAGATAAGGGCTGTGGCATTTTGATTAGCACAAATGAAGTAAAGCAAATGAAGAATTTATACTTCTCACATTTTAAGCAAAGCTGAGTATAAATAGTCATTTTGAATTCTCGTTTTCATGAATTCCTCTTTATACCATGGTAGCAATGTGAAAAGGCAGCAATCAAGATACAGGCATGTTATGCTTATGTTGGGAGTGTATACACTTTATTTGTGGCAAGCTGGCTTAGAAGAGAAAAATCAGTTGCTAGAACTTCTTTCAGTATTCACAAATAAGGGCCTAAGCTTGAGGAGATGGCAGAGCTGCAGTGCGTAGGTTATTCTGGCCAGGTGCAGGGCCTGCCCATTTACTCAAAAGAGAATTCAACCTAGTGTTGTAGGATGACAGGGAAGATTCATCCATGAGAGAGTCAGCCCAAAACAGGACATGCAAGATCATGCACAGGGGCTTTGTGTAGTTTATAAGTTTGAAACAAAGTGTCTTTATACCTGTAATTTCACTTAAAGCAATTTTGATCGTTCTTATTTCTTTACATAACAAAGGAAACATTCCGCTTTACAGCAAAGGGAAATTTTACTTATGAAAACATAGTAATATCAGCAACTTTCTAAATTACTATGTGAGAAACAGCTAATGGTTTATTAATGATTCCAGTACTTCCTGAACTGTTTTTTTCTCCAATGTGATTTTTAGATTATGACATTTAAACAGTCACAGGTGTAATATGTAGTGATAGATATATAAGAAGCTTCACTTTATATTAAAAGGGATCTCTTTCTATTCCCAGGTGAAGTAACACTTTTTTTTTCTGCACTTCTGTTTAGCCTGATATTTTTGTTGGCAACACTGTGTAAACAGAGAAAAGCTCCACTTCTTATTTGCAGATCATTACAGTAAATTGAATTGTTCAAGAGCAGCTGACCCACAAGTTTCTGCAAGTTTCTTTTGGTGTGTTTAAGCATACTTTACAGTGTACTTTAATCACACATCCTAAAAACTCAAGGCACAAGAATAGCTTGATACTAAGATAGCAGTAAACACTTTTGTTTTGATCAAAAGATGAAAAAATCATAATCACTATGCAGAACTTTCAGAATAATATGCAGGTAAGGACAAAGAGACTTGTGTGCAACTTCTGTGTGAATCCTGAAATGTTCTTGCCTAGGAATTGAAGCATAGTAATAGTATTTGGCATAAACTTGCTTTCCTAGCCTTTCAAATTTAAAAATAGGAAATAATTATTACATGAGAAAGATTCAAAGCTTTATGATCTAAAAGAAATTAGCACTTTATAAAGATTTTGTATGATGCAGGAATTTTTAGCATCTACCACATGGGTTTAAATCCATGTAAAAACAAAAGAGAAACTACTTCAATGTTGTCAGCCACTGGCCCAGCTGTCCTGCACATACTAGCAAAAACAAAAGGCAACTTAATCAATGTGGGAGTAGATTGCATTAACTGCAAATAAGTGGCTTGCACGGTGGCTTGCCCAGTGGCTACATCTGTGCTAGTAAATTGAGCAGCATCACTGAAACTCAGTCATCTGTACTGTTAAATGTTCCCTGGCACAGCTTTGGCCCTGACCAGCCAACACGGTTCCTGGCTCTGGCATAGGAGCTAGTGCAGATAAGGGACCATTCCTAATAGGCTGGTTTCATGCAGCCAGTCTGTTTTGAATGGCAATAGCATGTAATAGTGCTAATAAACTTAATAGGACTCTCTAGGCCAGATAGCGTCAGTGCCATAGACAGTTCTGTACAGAGAGATATAATTTAACTCCTATTAAAATCAATGCTAATCTTACCCAGAATTTAGGAGAATATAGGGGATATAGATGACACCTCACCTGGCTTGTGCTAGCCAACATTACATCTCAGGTGTTTACATGCACTGAATTTCACAGTGCCTAGAAAACGGAAGTATTCAACAATAATTTGTGATCTGTAACTTAACCTCTTCTGCCAGTAGGCAGGTACTAGAGGCTGAGAGTTATCAAACCTGTACAAGGAATTTAGTAGAAGCTGGCTTGCAGTAAGCCTGAAAAATATTAAGCAGTTATAACTTCTCAAGGTTTCTCACAGACTTGATTTCATTACAAAACCTAGTTTGTTCACTTTATGTATTTTGCCAGAAAAGAAAGTATTAAAGCCAGTGTTACAATATTGGCAAACGTAAAACAAAGTGAAATAAAAATGCTACATTTGTGAAACTATTTTGACTCTTTACTATGTATTTGCTGTTCACCACCTGTAACGTAAGTGGAAAATGTATGGAAACGCCTGAATGAGCCTTTTAGCTGTCAGCAGTACTAAACTGTGAATTAAATTTGCATCCTGATTAGGTATGTTTGCAGCTTATTTTGCCAAAAATAATAAACCCTGTATGTTGAGTGGTCAAATGATATGAATGACAGGTGTGTGTTGTAAAAGTCCATAATTAATAATCTTTCATATGTTCAGTCTGTTCTACTAAAAAGACCATTTACACCCAACCTTGTGCTTTGTTTGCTGAAAATGGAATAAGCCAGGTTTCTTTCAATTGCCTCTGATGTATGAACCATAGAGCATTAACAGCTATGCATCTGCCCTAGCAATTAAATAAGTCTGCAAATTTTTATTGTCTCTCTTGGTTCTACAGCACCTGTTTTAATATTGCATTTCATAAGCATTCAGCAGCTCTCGCTTTTTGATTCTTATCATAATTAGGTTTGATGATGTTAGTTTAATTAAAACCTTTGCTCACTACCACCTCCAAGTGGCTGTTACATTTCTTAACAATATGAAAATTCCTCACTGCCTGTTAAAAGCCCCCTTTGAAACATGGCCAACTGCAAAACTCATTTCAAGTCAGGCACCACCTGCCACAGCTGCTACAGATGTGCCTCCTGTTACAAGGACTGCTGCTTCAGACCATGGATGCTGAGTGGTGTGTTCTTTTGTAAGAGAAAGGGGCTCTAAACTTCTATAGGCAAAGAAGAAGAGATGGGAAACCAAAATGGGCTGTTCAGCCTGGTCAGTAAGTAAAATAGTACACAATTTTATTTTAGCTGTTTTCAGATCTATGCTGACATAGAAGTGCTATGTAGGAACAGAGAGAGTGAAAAGTGCATGTGATGCAATGGAGTTGAAGAAAGAGCAAGCCAAGGTGATTCAGAAGTCTGGATCAGAGTGGGTAATGGAATAACCTCAGAGCTACCATCCAAGGTCAGGTATCAGGATGATCTGGCAATAAAAAATATTTAAAATGGCAGTTCTGTATCCAGTACGACATTACAAGTCCCCTATTGATCACTGTGAGGTGTCCTGTAGCTGTTGAAATGACAGCCTGTGCTGCTTAAAGACTTCAGCCCAGGTCACCACCACCAAAACATGTTGCATTCAAGGTGAAATGTCTGTTGCTACCTCACCTGTACCTCACTATGGTATTTCTGTAGGCAAGACTGATGCGAAGTTTAAGGAGAGGAATCTTCAGTTAAAATAAAAACATGAGGAAGAAACACAAGTTTCTTCTGTTTTCCTACAGAAATTAGTATAATGCTGAAACTGAAAACCAAATTTGACCACAGCTGGCAGAGAGGCCGGCTTGTAATAGCTAAGTTCTTGTAAGACATACACATCATCATTTAAAAGGAGAGATTCTACAAGTGCATGTTATGGGTGCCCCAACTGAGGGAAATTTTCAGTAGGAAATTACGGATTAAGCACTGAATTCCATTGGAAAAAGCCCGTGTAAGCCTTAGTCTGGACTTGCACCTTTCCAGACATCAGTATCAATCAATCACAAGGGCTGATAGGACATCAAACTCATTTAGGTCTGGTATTCATAGAGCTACTCACTTTTTTCTGTTTCATAAATTATTGTATAACTTAGACTGAGGATGGATAGTGCTGACAAAGGTACATCCGTTTCTGGGTGTCCTTTTCTGCATAGCTAGTGCCTAAATGATGCCATGAATAACTGACCTCCCTGTAACCCCAACACTTTATGAACAGTCTGATCTATTCTATTTGCATTTAAACCACTGTTAGTGTGTACAGAATGAACAGAAGTTTGTTGCTAAGACCTTTGCTACTAATGTGCTATGATTTTTATGTACCACAAGCCATTCTAATTTTTAAAAAGTATTGCCAGTATGTTTCATGTTTTGTGAAATCAAAGTGTTGAGTTTTCCTGCAAGTAATAAAGAGCCTTGTGGATTCTGACATTTCTTTCAAAACACCTGTATAGACTTCATCCAGTGCATATTGTGGAAGTTTCAATTTATTTTTCTTATTGCTAATCTGGAAAGGAAAACTTCTTCCTTGTTTTCATTTTCACTCAAAAATGCACAGGTTTAGGAAACAAAAAACTATTTTTTTAATATCATGCTGATGTTATAACATGGCAAGATCATTTGTTATTTTAATGATCATCTTCTATATTTAAAGTACCTTTATGAAAAAAAAGGGAACTGCTTGTAGAGTCTGATATAGCAAAATTATGTCCTGCCTGTTGAAAACCAATAGCAAAAACAAATTATGTGCATAGGAAATGCCCTGGAACACACTTCCCTGTGACTTCTACTACTTAGAGAAATGGGATTAAACCTACTTCAAGAGTCTTTGACTCCCAGTTAAACTCTGGTTTCTTTGATGCTATAGAAATGCCAAGGTAGGAGGTCCTTCTAAAAGATCAAATAAAACTCAGTTGAACTGTGAACTGTGAGTGAGCAAAGAAGTTTTTAGATACACTTCTAACCTGCTTCTAACTTTTACCATGAGCATATAGTAGGGTTCAGAAACAATCTGTTGTAAATTCTTTAGCCAATTAGCTGAGTGAGTTACCACCGTTTATAATGCACAGAACATGGAGGCTCTCTTGCTGTTGTGCTGAGTTGGATTGTTAATAACAGGAAGCTAGCACTTCTTAGTACAGTGGATCAGCTACATGTGAAAATAAATGTAAAAAACCTGGAGGGGAATGGCAGCAGACTGAGATTAGCCTTTATTTAATTTAGCATTTGGGGGTCCAACACACAAATGAGTGTTTTAGTAGGCTTCATGGTGGAAGTTGCTGTCATTTGTAAAATATTCTGGCCAATTAGCTAATAGTGTGCTTGGATTTCTCCTGTTTTGATACAGTAATACTAAGTACATTGTGAAGCCCAATTATACAAATCATCCCCATATGCCATACCAGTCTTTCTTTATGAACTGTGTTTATAAATCCTGTGTGAGGAAATGTGTACTTCAGCAATTTAGACCATGTGTAAAAACATAGCCAATAGGATTGTCAAGAAAACAAGTTCCAGCATAGGAAATCCTAATGTGTTCTGCTAAAATAACACGAGTGTGTTGTGTGAGTTTTCTGATTAAATGCATATTACTTTATAGTAGGTAACCTGCATAGGTCCTTTCATTTCCCTTTTTATTCTTTTTTTCTCTCTTTTTTTGTAGGATCCAAATTTGGAGTTTTTGAGGAAATTTGGAATTGGGCTAGTCTCAGGAACAATAGCCTCAATTATTAACATTCCTTTTGATGTTGCAAAAAGTAGGATTCAAGGACCACAGCCAGTTCCTGGAGAGATCAAGTACAGAACCTGTTTTAAAACTATGGCAACAGTCTATAAAGAGGAAGGGTAAAACATTCTTATTTTAATAAATGTCCGGATCTCTGTTTTAGTTCATATGGGTCCATAAAACCATGTTGTTATATTTCAGATTTGACGAGTACCATTAAGCCACCCTGAACTCACATATCAAAAGAGCCCAATGTCACATTTTGATAATATATTTTAGACTTATGAGAAGATACGGTCCTACTACATGTGAACACTTACAAAAGACTAACAAGATGATTATTGGGTTGTCAAAATTTATGCTCCACAAATAAATGCTTCATACATCTCATGCAAACATTTTAACTCTTCATTTTGTAAAAGGAAAATATCAACAGAACACAGAATACTTCTCAATTCAATCTAATTGTAATTATACAGTCCTATGTACCTTTAAAATTACTGCTGAAATAAATTGGGGCCAAACCCTTGTGGTAATAATGTTTTTCAAATTTTAAAAATATTTCTCAAGTCTGAACTAAGTTGTATCTTTGATATTCAATTATATCAGTCATTTTATCCCTGTATGCAGCTGTTGTTAACAGACTTGTCTTGAAAGTAAACCCATCTCACTGATTAAAGTCATATTTCTGATTGGCTAGGCTCACAACATTGCTTTTGTGACTGAACATTGATTAGCTTTTTCTCTTCATCTGATCTGCCTCTGTAAAATGTTAAAATCCAGATACAGCCTGCTATTGAACATGTGCAATTTCAAATAATTGCTCCTAAGTGCTCTGCCAGCATTTTAACAAACATGTGCTACAATTCCATTCTTCTTTTAGAGCAAGGATATTGTTTGAAATATTTTGTTTGTGTTTCTTCTGCTACAGATTTCTGGCTCTGTACAAAGGCTTGCTTCCCAAGATCATGAGACTTGGTCCAGGTAATTTTCATTCTGTCATTTCTGTATTGCTTTTGTTCTTGTTTTCTTTTCCCATTTTTCTGAGTCTTGACAAAATGTAGTAAACATCAGTGTACCAAAGATCATCAAAATCTCTTTCACTTTGAATGGTTTCTTTTGATAATAGCATCATCTAATTGTATCATAGATGGATTTAACTAAATATGTGTCTAAAAAGAATCATTTTACATACACAGCAGAGGATTGCGGATCCAGTTAACTGGGCGGGTTTGCAATTGCTTTATTTATGAACAAGCAAAAGTACACCCATGCAAATTACAGAACTTTAAAACTTCCTATTCCTTTCAATGTGATCTTTTGGGTCCACTAGGACTATTCAGTACCCACGTGAAGTCACTTTAAAATGCAGGTTAGAGTCTCTCCAGTACAAATGCACTCAAATAGTCGAAGCATAGCCCAAGCATATCAAATTCCAGTTACTTTCTTCTCCTGTGCTCTGTGCAGGCTGTAAAGAACAGACACTAAAAGGTCAATAGTATGAGCTGGGAAGAGACTTTCATGGCCCTGGAAAACTAAGAGGACAAGGATATCTTGAAACCGGGTTTGTTGTTTGACCCCTTCTCACTGATTGATACTCCAAATGTGGGAGCATGGTGGTTGAAAGCTACATCTTCTTCAACTTCTAGATTATTTTTCCCTGACTGGTTTTGATTAATCATGAAAGCAAAGCACTGACCCCTTAGGCTTTGCCAGCCCACAGAAGCACTTTGTGTCAAAAAGAGCAGAAGCCTCAATTTGAACAGTATCCCATTCCCGTGAAATTGTATTTCCAATTGTGTAAGGTGATTTAATAGGCAAGAATACACATGGTTAAAAGCAAGTAAGTACAGAGTCTGTTCTGCAGTATAAAGGAGGCATTAGGTTTGTCTGTAAATGTTTGCACATCCAATCCATCTGGCTAAGTGCTAGACCATGGCTGGTTATTGTGCAAGGTAAGGAAGAAGGTGGGGAGGGGAAACAAGGAGTTCTGGAGCTAAAAGCCTTTTTCTTCATACTCCAAAGATACTAGATTACATACAGGACAAAGACAAGGCAGGGTTTTGCTTTCCCAGTACCTTTTAGCACAGCAGATGTTGGAATACAATTTTCCATCTTACAAATGACCATGCATTCTGGCCCAGATCCAGCAAGTCAGTGAAATATGCACTTCGTTAAAAATACTTTTGTAGTCCTGTTGACTAATATACAGATTTGGCTTTCTGATGAAACAATAATACAATCTTTACTGTGACTGGAAAGGTAATTCCTTCTTTCAACCTGTGAGTGCTTACAGGAAAAGAGATACACAAACAGATCACTCAGGATGAGACTTGAAATTAGCCTTGATTTGAGTTCAAATCACATGTTAGACATTGTGTCTAAGATTTGTTTGTAGGTCAAAGCCTCTTGCTACCTTCTTTCTAGCTGTTTGTGAGTTGCTCTTCATAGTGATTGTCAAGTCTGATGACGGTTCATTACGATAAACGACACAGGAAAACTCGTGGTAGTTCCGTGTTCCTGGTTGTCTGAGCCTATCCCTAGAAAGGTGAGCCCAGTTCAGCACAAGATTTGTTTGTTAGAGGTGCCCCTCCAAACCACCAACTGAACCAACAAGCAAAGCAAAGGAATGAAAATATTTGTGCCCCAGTGTTGGCACAAGCACTGGGGCACAAATGGCACATTGTAATACACTTTTACTCCTGCAGCCTGGCTCTATGCATCTTCTCCAACTAGTAGATTCACTCTATGTTTAGTTATAGATATACCTTCTGTAATGTTCCTGTCTTTAGCTTATACAGTACTTACAGTCCAGTTACAGTTTAGTTGCACTACAAGTAATGATACTTCATGGCTTTCAAGCTGGGATTTCACACTGTTATTGATTCCAGCAGATAATGCCATTTCATCAGATTAAAGCTTTTCTTGTGGATTTTTAGCCAGGTACAGGCACAGGAAGATTATACTTATTTCAATACTGTGATTTTCTGCTTTTGACATGGTAAATGAACAGGTGAAAACTTTTCTTGAATCTTACCTGGAAGCATTTTCATCACCCTGGTGATGAATTTTTGTCATTCCACCATCATTGCTCTTTCATGGTCAAAGATAACTAAACAAACACCCAAATACACACACATTCAGATCAAATGTTTCATTTGTTGAAGAACAAAGAAAAATATTAGTCTCGAAAAAAGTTAGGAAAAATCAGACTGAGTGTGAATTTGATTTAATATATAAGCTTTTTGCATCAACTTTTTGGTCTGCTAGTAAGTAAAATGGGTATGGTTGAAGAATCGGAGAATTTCTAATGAACTAGGAAATTAGTAGAATTATCCATTTTGAAATAAGGCTTTGCTATGTCCTGTCTTAAATTACACACTACAAATGCTCTGTAAAATTTTGAAAATGCTGAATTTTCTGTGTGGTAAAATAATATCCGTTTTTTTCCCAGGTGGTGCAGTGATGCTTTTGGTTTATGAATACGTTTATACATGGCTTCAGAACACAGTCAATCACAAGCAGCACTTCTGAAAAATGTACTTTTTAAAATGATATGCATTCTAAAATACTGCAATAAAGTAAAAGTGATTCTGATCCTTTATGGTGTGGAATGCCCTCAGATTGCACTGATGTTGATACAGTTAAAAGTAAATTTGATCTTCAGGTTCTGATCCAAGAAAACATTTAAGCACATGTTTTTCTGAAAGTGCATAAGTAAATAGCTCTGCTGATATTTGTAATTGTTTTGCTAGATCAAGATAAAATATGAAGGAGACATTAAAGGACAAACTGAAAATTCTTGACATAGGATCATCCTATGTAGTCATACACTTTTTTAAAATTTTCAGCTGAAATGGCAAGATAATTACTCTCAGAAGATTTTCAAGAAAAAAATGGAAAAATGCTGGAGGGGTCAGATGCTCAGCTAGTGTAAACTGACAGCTCCATTGACTCCACGTTAAGAACATGACCAGCAACTCTTGAATCAGATTTTACTGTGAATTTTATATCCATCTTCATATATTATTCCTAAAAGAGCTGTCCTGTGACAAAAAATGCTCAGTGCACCCTGACTGCCCCTTTAGCCTTTCATTTCCACCATGGTATGATGAAACAAGGTTCTAGACTGATAGCACATATGCAGTTGTAGCTTGCTGGCCATGCACCTCAAAGAAATACATCTTTCTGTAGATAAAAAAAAATGTTGCTGTGAAGCTAAAATTGTTGCTTTTCCCAGTCACTGTAAATATAAATAATATTTCAGGGATGTACTCATGTTCTTATGAGCCATTCTTCCTCTGAAATACAGTGATTTCTGCTGTGCTGATTTAAGACACTGTTTCTGTTCACGGAGTTGTGCCATTCTACGTTTTCTTGTAAACAACTGCTTAAATAACTTTAAATTGCACATTATTCTGTTATAAAAATGTTCCCATTATCTAACTTAGTTTGCTATGAATTAATGCATATCTTGCAATTCCTGAAGTTTTTGTATCTCCCCATACTACATTCACACTGTTAACTTTCAATGCTCTTCCTCTTAAGGAGGTATAAACCTTTCTTCCAGCAGTCCTAAAGAAATATCTTTCCACATTTTTACTTGAAAATGACAGTTCACGTGTGAAGTTTCATCTCATGAGTGGTTTTAATGCATTAGAAAAGCAACAAAAAGCTAAAAATAGAAATGCATTTTCAGCAATTTTAAAGTTGCCTGTATTGACATGCTCAATAAACCTCTCTTTTGTCTAAATTTGACAACAGCACCTTCTCATACCTATGCTGCTTCATAGCTAAAATCAATAAAATTGGGTCTGCTAAAGTTTATGGTTTTAAGGCAAGTGTTCCTTGTTGTTGCATTTTATTATTGGTACTTAGCCAAAGAGAAGACACTACTAAGATAATTTCAAAAACTGAAGCAAAATGCTTTATAATTTGTCTTTTATTAATTTAGACCATTCAAAATATAAAAATAAAATGCTTTTAACATACTGTATATACATATATAGCCTTCAGTTTTACATCCTTTCCAACATGACTTTTTTATCAGTTAATAGCTCAGCCTGATCTTTGATAAAAGGAGAACAATTACAAAATAGAAAACAGCATAGTTTTAGAAAACAAACCCATGAATGTGCCAGCCCAATCCCCCATCACTCCTGGTGTAATATGAGGGGAGATTCAGTTTTACACTGAAGATCTTCTGTGCTGGGACCACGCAAATACAGTTCAGCTGTCATAGAAGGGAACATTATTAGGCTTCACCGATCTTTTTGAAAACATTTGACACTCTGAGAACGAAGTGTAGACTTTTCAGATAAAACACTTAAATTCTGCACCCACATATACTGCATATATCCCAAATCCATCCATTCACCTCAGTGGGTTCACTATGCCCCTACACCTGACAGTAGGAGTTGACCCTTGTTCATTTTTTTTAAAAAAACCCTCCATTTTCCTTCTGAATTTATTGTAGAATGACTTAAAGTTGTGTGGTTAGTAAGCTAATGTTGCCTTTTCCAGTTTACCTATGAGCATAAGCAGGGAAAAAAGTCCTTGGGCAAAGGAGTATTCTGCATTGTAGGTTTAAGTTTTTAAAAAAAATTTATGAAAATTCACACCAAAAAAATCCATCAGAATCAGTTTACCAAGAGCCAAGGTCAGGTACTCTTGCTCACTCTGAGCAACACTGTCTGCATGCAGCCCAGCTGACTTCCCATTCAGGGGTCAGGCATCATGTACTGCAGGCAGATGCACAGAGAGCTTTACCTAAACAAACACAAAACAAAAATGGTTTACGATGGTGTATTCCCATGTGAGGAATAATTAGCATCTTGTCTTGTCCTTGCTTTATAAATTATCCCAATTTAGCTGAAGAGAAGATAATGCGAACAAACAAGTTAAGAATCTGCCTCTCTGTCTCCCAAAACACACACTTATACATCGTAGAAATGTCAGGAAAGACAATTTTTATTTCAGAAATTATCTGTTGTTGCTCAGGAAAATTTGGAAAACTCTTAATACAGGCACACTTTGTTACAGGCTTATAAATTCTTGCTGCTTAAAAAGCTGTGCTATGGAAGGCTTCTATTCCTTTTTTCCCTTTGATGTCCCTTGTTTGAGTGGTATGGATAACAATAGGTAGACTGACTCAATAATTCCATAATCCAGTAAAACAACTAGGCTGAAAGCTAAAATCCTCTTGCCAGCTTAATCACTTATTGATTTATGATATTTTTCTTATCTTCTTTTTTTCCTATTTTATTTTTATTGAAGAGCTTGCCTAGAACTAAACTGATTTCTTTTTCATGGTATAAAGGCAGAATAACATCTGTCGTATCACTAACAGTGTGGTAAAGTGGAAATGCACTTGTGTGCACATTTCCTTTAGTGGTTTCAAAGCAACACTCCTGAAAAAAGTGTTCTACTGAATAACAAGAGTTTCAGCATCTGGTTAAAGCCAAACAGCTGTCGAATGCCTTTGAGTCTGACGAACACGAATCACATCCAAGATCAGATCTTTCTTTCCTTGAGGCCATAATACAATACCTGTGTTCTTTTCTAGAAATGCAGTTCCGTTAATTATATTTAGTGCATAAAAAACAGAGGTGGCAGCAGCCAGCTAGTCCATCTATATTTCAGTGTACACACTGCATATGACACAAGTACTGGTTACTTAGATTGTTATGAAAATTCACCCACAGCTGTCTTGGTAATGAAAGCTTGAAATCCACAAAGAGAGGACTGTATTTTAAGAGGGGACAGTATTTTACTTTCCAACTGAATTAATGTTGAATATGGTATGCAAATAGAGAAATATATGAAGAATGATGTTTTCTCCTTTGCTTTAACTATCTCTAATGTAGTTTAAGTTATTGCAAACATTTATAAAAATCCATAATATATTAATATTCTTTGAAGGATATGAAATGTCACACCAGGTTTCTTCCCACATTCATATCCTGAAAATACCTACAGCATGGGGAAAGCATTCTGGAATAATAGTCAGAACTTTATTATTGCCCAAGGAAAACAGGTAAGTTTTCAAAGATCAGAATGTTAGCTCTCTTGGGATTAAAGTTTAAAGCAAAATAACTGGCACGGAGTACTTGCTACTGGATACAGAAATGTAGAAAGGGAATTTGGTAATATTAAATAATATCTGTGTTTGTAGCACCACCACCAGTATACCTATAAGGGAAAAAAATGCTTCAGAACTACAATGTAAAATTTACCAAGAGCCATATTTTACACTCATTAAAGCAGAAATTAAAGACAACTTCATCTTTAAAAAATTACAACATAATCTTGGGACCAAAAACGCTGGACACGAGTGAGCTGAGAAAGTACAATTCTGTTTCTCAGTGGGTTTGCTGACTGACATGGTTTTGTAAGCATCTCTGCACAGGTTGCACGCTAACAGCATTTTCCTCTATAGTTTTCAGTTTTGTTCAGGTGTTTTCCACCCATTTCTGTTTGTACACTTCATGTGAATGTGGTGTTTCATGAATCTGGCAGGCTGAGTATAGCTGTGGAGAGTTACTTGGCTGGATTTCTGCCATTGAATCTTCTGCCAGAGAGATAACTGTATTTCACGAGATGTTGAAGCCTCCACTGTAGGCACAAAAACATAATGAAACAACCCTATCTAAACCTCATCACCTGAGACTATCATTCCACCATGTAAAAACACAGAAAATAGCAAGAAATAACCTTCTTAGCTTAAAAAAAAAAAAAAAAAACAAAAACAGAAAGACGAAAAAACACCACACATGTACTGGAAGGTGAAAAATGCTGTCAAAAGCCTATATTTACAAATGGATACAATCACAAAGATATTACTACTGCCTGATGATGGCAACATGCCAGAAGAATTGGAGAGCCTCGGTTCTATGTTTGATTAACAAAAGCCAACAAAACAACCAAAAATGACCTCTTAATAGTGGTGGATTGTATAACCTCATCGATGAAAGGGTTGTTCTCTCGGCAGTTGGCAAATACTTCCCATTTAGCCATCTTTCCTGATTTGAGGCATAACAGAATTTTCTGTGGTGATTTTTTTTATTGATTTTTATACACATCTTAATAACAATTGCACATTTAGAAAGTTTGTGATGATTAAGAATAAATACGTGTGGTTTGACCAGGAGAGAGTGGGACAAGGCTCCATGAGCCCTTTGAAGGATGCAAGGTCTCTACTTAAAGAGCACAACACCACACTTCTCTCAGTTTCTGATGTTGTCTTCAGCTCTTTCAAACCCAAAAGCCTTATGGGAGACAATTCACAAGGAGAAATGCCAGATATCACCAGCACAAAGAGAGGAGTCCATGAGCTAGGCTCAGGGGACAACAAGCCAGCGTGCTCACGGTGGCCCTGGACCAGCTCCTTCATCAGAGAGCAGAGGCTGTGACAGAGTGGCTGCCCTCCCTGGCCGTCTGCATGCCCTTGAACGCCAGCGAGGTGGGGATGTCGCAGCTGTGAGAGGACAGTGCGGTGCCTCCGGCGTGCTGCCAGCCGTGGCTTGCCATGTAGCTGGATGGAGCGGCGCTGTACGTCATGTAAGGTGACACTTGGGCTGGTGTGGCATAGGGAGG